TTTTTTTTTTTTTTCATTTTTCAATTTTCCCTTTTTTTTTTGAAATGCGAATGCACCAAGCATAAAAACTGTCAAACACGCAAATAAATAGAAAATAAACAAATAAAAAAGTATGGATGGATTTTCTTCCTAGAAAAAAAAACAAACAAATGTAATGCATGCATAATTCAATATCACATAATGAAAAAGCATGAGCATGCATCAAAAACACCTAATTAGCTAGGTATGTAAATGCTCTTACCTTTAAGAAACCCGTGATCTATTTCACAATTTTTTAGATCACTCTTCTTCACCCAAACTTGCCTAGTGACAGGAATATTTATATTCATGTGTGTCATTAACTTTGTCAATTGACTCACTTGATTAGTAAGAAAGTCAATCTGACCAACATAATCCTGATTCTTACTATCAAAGCTCTTAACTCGATGTCTATTTAGGAATTTATGACATCTAGGTCGTATGTGTCCTAACTTACTACAGTAAAAGCAGGTCAGGACAAACCTAGGACCAATGTTATGTAAACGTTGACATCTATTCCTAGGTCAACGAGTCCTACGCTGTCTAATAGGTCTCTGTCTAACAAATCCCTTATCCTTACGATCAGGGTTAGGCACATATTTGGGCTGGTCAGTGGCGGGGACAAATCTGGTCTTATAAGTACTAGCAATGTTTTCCTTAAAACCTAGACTTCCCTTATTTCTAGCCCGCTTGCCTATTCCTAAAATGTTATCTAACTTTTCAGAACAACTATAGAAGGCAAGCAACTGAGACTTATAATTTTCTAGATCGTTCAGAAGATTCTTAACCTGTATTTCTAATGTCTCTCTCTTAGTGGTCAACTCGCTGACTCTTCTAGATTCATTCATGGATTTCAACTCTTAGGATCGAGGTACATTCCTTAATGTGCGCTACAAACTTCTCATTTTCCAATTCAAGTTCCTTATTCTTCACACTCAAGGCTTTTTTCTTAGTAAGAATCTTAAGGCTCTCCTCATACATCTTATCATAAGCCTCTTAGATATCTTTCTCACTCTCAGAATTGTCCTCATCAGAATCTTCATCACTATCTAAGTCATTATCTCTTTCACTCCCATGGTCAAATTCATTCTTAATACTAATAGTAAAAGCAAGATATTTTCCACATTCCTCCCGAGTGGATTTCTCACTCTGATTGTCCGAGTTTGACCCTTCATCATTGAGAGTAGCATTCATAGACTTATCTGAATTTCTCCTATTGCTAGGGCACTCACTCCTAACATGGCCAAAGCCTCGACAATTATGGTACCTCACAGATTTAGATTTTTTCCTAGATTCACTCGGCCACCTTTGTATCTCTCTTTAGGGTTATTTTTCTTCCTAAACATTTTTCAGAATTTTATAGCCAGGTAAGCTAACTCCTCATCATCCGGTGAATCAGAATCAGAAAATTCGGTCTGAATGTTTCTCACGGATTTCATGGTCAGAGATTTATCCTCATCATGTTTATCTAAGGTCATCTCATAAGTTTGGAGAGATCTAACCGATTCTTCCACCTTAATAGTAGTGATTTTAGCTCTAAATCACTCGGGTAAGGATCTAAGGATTTTTCTAACAATTTTAGGCTCTGAGATTCTCTCACCTAGGTTGAAACTAGAATTTACTATATCGTTTAAGCTCCCATAGAATTCATCAAATGTCTCATCTTTGTTCATCCTAATCTCTTCAAACCTAGTGGTCAACATCTGCAACTTAGAGTTTTTAACAGCTTGAGTTCCCTCATGTGTGGTCTATAGAATATCCCAAACCTCTTTGGCAACCTCATACATAGACACTCGCCTAAATTCATCCGAGGATACCGCCATAAATAAGAAATGTAAAGTTTTGCTATCGTAGATACTATCTAACCACCCTGCTAGATTTCTCGATCTACCTCCTGTAGCCTCCAAAATCTGCTGTAAATTCCAGACTCACAATCTTCTGCAATTGTTTCTTCCAAGTGGATACCCAGGAATCACCTATTTATGTTTTTCTTCCTGCGCTTGTAGTCAAATATCTCTCAACCTCTAGAAACTTCTGAAGTCCAACTGAGAAAGTCAGGTGTTTTGGATTCTTCAATTTGATGTTTTCACAAATCTTGGTTGTCGGATCTCAAGAGTGATATGGATGAATCAATGAATTCAGTTCTTGGATCTTCAAACAATGATATGAATGTATATTGCAATGATAGCACCATGAAGCAACCTGCTACAATTCATCTCAGACATCTGTATTTATAGTTGAGGACGTTTAGGTCTTATGGGCCGTGTAAAACTCTTTAGAATCATGAATTAGGTCTGACCGCATAAATATGTCAATCGAGCGACAGCGAAGCGATAGGCGAGCAATAACGTCTCTATTTCTGCTACTCGAACGTAAGTCAAGCGAGCAGCTAGCGAAATTTCTACGCCGTGTTTTCCTTGTTTTCAACCTTTAACCCTAACTTAACTTATCTATACAAAATTGCATCCAAGTCCTTAACTTTTTACAAGTGTTCAATTAAGACCCTTTTGTTCACTAACATGCCAATTACAACATTGGACCTAACATAGAGTAAGGGTAAGTATGCTAGCAACTAATGGGCAACAAGTTACCTACTACATGGACGATGGTGTTTACACTGACATCAATTCCTACAACTTCAAGTATGTGACTAAACAAGAATCGTTGTGAGTGTACGTATGATTGCTGCGTCACCTTGCTCCAATCAGACTCCCCTCTCCATTAATATACTTACAATAAAGAGGGTATGATATCATAAATACATTTTCATCTATGTTTACTCATATTATATATTAAATAAAGTTGTATGCTTGTTTGTTTTAATATTTCGCATCACGAAACAAAGTCGCTGGTATTAATTATCTCCAAATTAAGTCCTTTTAATTGGCGGTGGTATTCTTGGTATGGTACCATTATTTTCTTAATCAAGATATAAACACAAACAAACAAAAGGCAACAAATGTAACTACAATAGATGACTTTTTAATTAGGACATTAATTTAGTTAATTTTTTATATTACAAAAATGATGTTGAAATGGATGACTATAGCTAGTTCCGACTATGAAAAATGGTTGAGAACAATTTGTTAGATAATGTTGGAATGGAAAAGTTCCTCAATCTAAAGTGAGATGCCGTCGTATAATATTGGCATCAAATTCTAAGGTTAACGTGGAGTAAGAAATCCTAACACTAAATTCTATGAGTGCAACTATTTGTACACGTTTATTTGATTATTCTCCCACTAAATCCACTACAACAAAATAGTCATTTACAACACTAAAAAGGCAACATTTGTTGATAAATGTTGCTAAAATGGTCTTTTGGCAACATTTTAGTAAGTGAATGTTGCCACAGATATTAATAAATACATTTTGCAGTGTTTATTGAGTGTTGCGGAATGTTTACCTTTTCGCAACGTTTGTCAAACGTTGCGAAAAGTGAGACCTTTCGAAACATTTGTCAAACGTTGTGAAATGTGACAAACATTGCGAAAGGTTAAACATTCCGCAATGTTTGTCAATTGTTGCCAAAACTTTTGTGTTTTTTTAAATATACCTAACCCAAATTAACCCAAACCCTCATCTCACACAATCGTTCATTCCTCTCCAACCCATATCTCTCCGTTCATTCCTCTTCAACCCTAATAAAATCCCCAATTCCACTACATTCCTCCTCACCC